GACCGGTTTGCGGCTGCAGCGGAGCGTGGTTTGGACGTTGCCTCCGACGAACTCGCTGACGATTACTGCACTGGGCTACCGACAGAACTCCGTCTTCTAATAATCAATAACGGACAGGGGAAATATCAGTCGTGCGAACAAGCGGCGACAGCCGCAGCATGGCTCCACGAGCTCCAGCAGAGTGTGCTGGAACTCCGAAAAAGGACCAGTCGAGCCATTAGGGCTGATATCCAAGCTAATGGACCCCGTAGGCGCCAGGAAATTGAAAAGCGACCTAGGGAAACCCACGGGAACTGCTTTGAGTGTCAGGGTCGCGGACATCCGGCACGTGTCTGCCCCAACAAAGGGGAACGTACAAACGTCCGGGGGAAATATGCAAGAAGTGTGGCGGTGTGGGACACTATGCTCGGGACTGTCCTACGTATGAACGAGGCCGGCCCGAGCCGGCGGACAAGGGCAGTAGGGAGCCCACCGGTCCTAGCACTGAGAAGACGGAACGATTAAATATGCGGGCCTAGGCGTGGTTGGAGACGAGCGTTCTAGGCCGCGTAGCCATGGCAAAGGGATGATGTGTGCGGTAGCGACAGGCCGTAATGCCATTCCAGTCTCCCTTGAGTGGGGAAACCAACTTCTCAGCACTGTGGAAGGAACTAATACAAGCGATAAGCACGCGGAAGGGACTCAGCCGCTTTCGGAAACGCGGTGGGAGTCTGGGTCGGCATCGATCCTGAGTGAAGAGGCTCCGGGGAGCGACGACGGATAGCAGCAGGAAGTCTGCAGAGGCAACAGAAGACGGCTATAGGTCAGACGCGACAGAGATTATGCCACACTGGTGGAGGGAAACTTGCACGAAAGAGTTTTACGACCAAGGGGGAGCACTGTGTTGTGTGGGTGCGACGGAGGTACTTCGCGTTGAGCTCGCAGGGAGTCCTTGTGAGGCTCTCTTGGACACTGGGGCTTCGAGAAGTTTCATTAGTCCTAAAACAGTCGAACGACTGCAACTGAAGGTGCGGAGAATTCCAGAAGAGCATAGGTTCACCGTAGCTACAGGTGAACAATTACGCATTGATCGGTTTGTGACGGGATTGACGATGTGTTGCGGACATGCACGTTTTTCCCGGGACTTTTTAGTGGGAACCGTTCCCACTAAGTCTTGGCTTTGGATTGGCTGACGGAACATAAAGTGGCCTGGTATTTCCAGTCCAAGAAACTCCGAACCTATGTGAATGGCCAGTGGTGCGAGTTACCGGTTGTTAGGACTGGTGAAGCAAAGCTGCAAGGTGACAGTCCCACCGTAGCGCACCCAAGGACCCCGGCAGAGCAAGCATATGAGATATTGGCCAAACAAGTGGCAGGTATGTCAGCTGAGGAGGCAGCTATATTCGTACGCCCGCCACCAATGAGGTATAAGTCCCACGCGAAGGCTAAGACGAAGGGACGGATAACGTCGCTCGTTCGTCAGGTGGCGGCTGGCACAAAGAGGCTCAGGGCTCCATTGCACGGTTTGCATCTCATACTCGCTTTGCCAGAAGCCGGTTCGGCGGTGTTCCTAAGGTTCTCAGATGAATGGCAAGGCGCGCTTTGCTGCGCGTTTAATTGGGAATCAACCCACGTCTTCCGGTTGGGGTAGTCCTTTGGCCTCAACCGCCTCGGCGGTAGCGGAGAGTGAAGAGGAGTCTCCCTGGTCTATGGCAAAACTCGAGCACACTCTGTTCGATGAAAGGATAAATTCGACAGAGACGCAGGATATTCCATGCGAGATTGTCCAGGTGTTGCAGGAATATGGAGCGGTCTTTCCCGACAACTCACCCAAGGGATTACCGCCGAAGCGCCCTCATGATCACCATATTCTACTTGTGCCTGGAAAGCTCCCAGCGAAATCTGCAATATACCGTATGACCCCAGATCAGCTCACTTTCCACAAACAGGAGATAGCTAAATTATCGGACAGTGGTTGGATCGGACCGACCTATTCGCCTATTTGCTCTCCTATGATCATGGTAGACAAACGTGATGATGGCTCCGGGGAGCGGAAGATGCGTATGGTTGTTAATTATCAGACTCTAAATGCCCTTAAGATAGCCACTGCTTTTCCACTACCTCCCATTCAAAACCATTCTGGAGGTGCTGGGAGGTGCCAAGTGTTTTTCCACTTTGGACCTTGAAGCAGGTTTCCATCAAATACGTATGGCTAAGGAAGACCCGTGGAAGACGGCTTTCCGGTCCGTTCTCGGACTATTCGAGTACCGAGTAATGCCCTTTGGCCTTAAGGGTACTCCCCCTACGTTTCTGGCCAATATTAATGCCTATCTACAATCTTTATTGGGACAGGGCGTTATTGCGTACCCAGATGATGTACTTATCTATAGTTATGATCTCTCTGGCCACGCTTCTCTTCTGCGACAAGTCCTAAGTATTTTTCTTAGACATCAGTTCTACCCAAAATTCCGCAAATGCAAGTTTGCAAGGCAAACAATTACATATTTGGGTTATACCATTTCTGCTGCGGGGATCAAACCTGCAGAAGACAAAATCGAAGCCATGCGGCATTGGCCAGAGGTGCTTGAGAACGAAACGCAAGTGCGCCAGTTCCTCCGTATCATAAATTACTGTCGCATGTTCATGGGACCGGACTATGCAGATGTTGCCCGGCCGCTGGTTGACGCGTAAGGACGTTAATTTCGAATGGACAGAGCTTCACACGCAAGCGGTGCGGCAGCTCAAACAGCGCCTAATCGACTTCACTGCATTACAAGTCCCTGACACCACGAAACCCTCGAGTTATACACAGATGCCTCTGGTTATGCGATCGGAGCAGTTCTGGAACAAGACGGCAAGCCCATCGGCTTCCTCAGCCAAGTCATGAACCCCACACAACAGAGATACTCGATCTACGATCAGGAACTCTTGGCGTTGGTCACGGCACTGGACAAGTGGTCGCACTTGCTCCGTGTTTCCAAGGTAACGGCTTAGAGTGATCATCATGCTCTCACCCATCTCCAACAACTCCAAGCATCGAAGCCTCTGCGTGGAGGCACCGCCCGGTGGCTAGAATTTCTTGCCGAGTTCCCGGATTTGCACATCACTTATGTTCAAGGAGCGTGCAATCAAGTTGCTGATGCCTTGTCTCGCCGTCCCGGTCTTCCTAACACCTGCTCGCACGACACACCATCGGTACCACTGATGCTCGCAATAGGACAAGCGAGCTCGGCTCCCCCCTCTTGTGGTCGGCCTGCCAACTACAGGGAGCTCGCCGGAATTCATTCGCAACGACCTAAACGATGCAGCCTGCCGTCTGCACCTTCACCTGCGCTGCCGGAACCCAACCCAGAGGCGGAACATCCTACACTCACAACGAAGACACCAGCTGACCCTCCTGATGTGCGCCAATGGCCGCAAGCTTACTCGAAGTGTCCCGTTTTTCGCAGCAAACCAACCAGGAGAAGCTCTGCAAATCGAGTTTTGTAATCGCCAATTCACCTTTCGATACGTAGAGCCTTACCTGCACATCCGCGTTCACGGACTGTGGCGCATCTGCGTCCCACAATTCCCTGAGTTCCTTATTCAAGTTCTGCATTCACCTCACGACCATGTCACAGCTGGCCATCAAGGCTAGAAGACGACCTTTGCGGCTCTCAGCAAGCACTACTACTGGCCAGGAATGCGCGCCTACACTCCTGCTTATGTTGAGTCATGCATTCACTGTCGAGCGTCAAAGTCCCTTAACCAGAAGCCTGCAGGCCTTCTTCAACAGTTGCTCATCCCTTCTCGTCGGTGGGCGCACGTGACTCTTGACTTTATCACAGATCTTCCCCTTACAACGACAGGGCACGACTCAATTCTTGTCATGGTCGACTCCCTCAACATGATGACACATTTCGTTCCTGCAAAGAATTCATTCACAGCAGCAGACACCGTGGAGCTTCTCGCAGACCGTCTTATCAGCTATCACGGTTTTCCAGAGGTGCTCATATCGGACCGCGACCCCCGTTTCCAGTCGGGTCTCTGTCGCCGCTTTAACATCTAACGGTGCATGTCCTCGTCCTACCATCCCCAAAGCGACAGCCAAACTGAACGGGTTAACCGTACACTGGAACAGATGCTTCGTACCTATGTCAGATCTGACGAACGCGAGTGGGAGCGTTTGCTTCCGGCCTTGGAACTTGCCTACAACACAACAAGTCATTTATCCACTGAGCTCTCTCCCTTTAAGGTCATGATTGGGGAGAACCCGTTGACTGCTGCGGACCTTGATGTCTTAGGCGCGTTAGCTCCTACGCTCACTCCTCCGATGACTAAGCTTTTCCGGCAGCTCTGCGAAAGAGCACAGAGTCACATCCTGAAGGCAAAATGGCAGAAGAAGTACTACGCAGACACAAAGGGTCGAGCAGTGGAGTGGGAGAAAAGGTCTGGCTCAGCAGCAAGCACCTACCGCCTTTCAGCAGCTGCCCTAAGTTCGAACCCCGTTACTGCGGACCCTTCGAAGTAATTGAACGCATAGGAACTGTCGCTCACCGTCTCGTTCTGCCTCCCGCCTATGAATGCCATAACGTTTTCCACGTTTCGCAGCTTCCCCACCGCCGTCGCCCTCCCGCTTTGGTTCCCTCGGTAGCCGACGCCGCCTGGCCTCCTTTCCACGATGCAGCAGGCAATCCCAAAGAGGAATACGAAGTCGACTATATTATGGACCAACGCGGCTCGGGAGAGGTAGCCCAGTACCTCGTCAAGTAGCGCGGGAACCCTGAAGATCAAGCCACATGGGAGCCAGCTCACTACTTTACGGGCTGCCCGGATTTGCTTCGCGCTTGGCGCCGCCGCCAACGAAGACGTCTTCAGGCTCGAAACAACACTGGTCCTTCCGAGGCATAGAGGTGTGGGTCCGTCACATTCCACCGCCTGCAGCACGGGCACCCTTCAATGAGGAGGGGGGAGGGAGCGCTGTGCACCGCGTGCGCTCACGGCGTTAGCTTTAGAAGAGCGTAGAGATTGAAAAGGCCGAAATAATGTGTTTTGGGGTAGGTCTTTTCAGTCCGGCAAGGGGGGAAGTTGTAGCGCACAGGCATTACAATAGGGCTTGCTGGGGACCCATAGAAGATAGCTAGCTAGCGACCTACAAGGGGTTGCAACACTGGAGGAGAACAGGACCCTCCTACTAGGATCAAAGTCAGGCAATTCATCTGCGAATTAACATGCATACACTAGAGGTGCCTGAAAATGCGTCGAGACTGGGCCTGGCGATAGCGCCGGCACCAGTGCAGGCCTCCTCCACACAAGGCCTAGGAGGCGAGCACCCCGAGTGAGGCGAATTGAACGACAACAGATTTTGGAAACTTAAGAATAACTGTATTTCGATATATATAAGCTACTGTTTCAAGGAAAAGGGCCAACGTTACGTGCCGATCATAGGCCCTGCTCGAGGGGTAGGTAGCAGCGTAGTTGTAGTGCCAGGCACTACAATTGACCTTCGTCGCCACCCCTCGAGGCTTAGTAACGCGAAAGGGCATGAATAATATAGAATATTTTAAGGTATAAGGCACCATTGGATATTAGAAAATCATAAAAGGGAATAGAGTGCTGGCTAGCCAGCACCGGGTATGGGGCTGGATGCAAGGTTGGTGCCGTGACTCAGGCACTGACCCTCAGCGATGGTCAACGGTCAGTTCTATTATTTTAGGTTTTTCTTACCTTTGAATAATATGAACTCAATTGCATATGGCTATTTAGGGTATACAGAAGTAGTTGGCGAGAATCATGGATTTTAGATAGTAGATGCAGAGTGTGCACTTAGTCAGACTAGCCCAGGGACCATACGTAGTAACAGTGTAGGCCAGCTGTTCACTACATTTGGGGGCTGTTCCGGGATATAAAAATTAAAATAAATTGAGAAAATTATCGAGCTTGCTTTAAAGGGGAAGATCCTTTCCTTTCTTTCTCGCAAAATCCGAAGTGACCTCCGCACCTAAGTGAAAAGGGGGATGGACATGCACCTACGCAACGGAAAAGTGGTACAACCTCCACCAGAACCGAACGCAGGAATGCGCAACACAGTTGTATCAAGTAAGGAAACCGCGGGGCACCCTATTGAGTCGAAACGAACAGAACCCGGTCGCGACATCAGCCAGCCCATCGCAGGGGTAGGCCGGCCGATACCGAGAAATCGGGACCGCGACGTTGGAGGACGCAAGGAACCCGAAATGAATCAAGCTAGGATGGAACCGGGAATGGCCGAGTTCTTTCGGCAATTCGCCTCTTAGATGGCACTGGGGTTAGTGCATACGTCCCAGAGGTCCATTGGGTTCGAGGACGGCAAGAACATGAGGAATTTCCTCGACCTTGTGGTGTTAGATTTCATTGAACGAGGGCTGGAAGAGCGGCAGTGGGGAGAAGAATTCAAAAGATATCTGACAGGCGACGCCGGGTTACTGGTTGTATCTGCGTCGCACGGGAGTACCCCTGACTGATTGGGAGCAACTGAGACAGCGATTCCGTGCGCAATTCTGTAACATAACAAAGGAACGGATGAAAGTCATGATAGCGGAGAATGTATGGCGGGGTGATCACCACGCATACTCTGCGCGTTTTGCGACTATCGTGGCCCAAGGGGTATCGATAGCACCAGACCTGTTGGTGGGCTACTATTTGGCCAACCTGCCGGTAGAAATATACCGAGAGATGACTCGAGGGGGAACAAGGAAATTCGCGGACTGGCAGGAAGCAGCCGCAGCACTGGCTACCACGGCGGCACCGTGGAGGGATTCATGCGAAGACCGCCTCCGATTCCAGCGGGACTTAGAGGATGCCAAGCGTAGATGGGCTAACGGGGGGCGAGAGCCGGGTCTACAACGCGAACGAGAGAGCAGGGGAAACAGACGGAATGACACTACGGACTCACACTGTTACGCGTGCAGCGGAAGGGGACATGTGAGCAGGGACTGTCCGCTCCGCAATGGAGCGACGCGACGGATTGGGGAAACGTGCTCCAGGTGTGGGGGCCGGGATCACTACGTTAGAGACTGTCCCACGTCGGCTCGACCCAGAGCAGAGCCCGTCAGGCAGCGCAGACAGCAGCCAATGCGGCCCAAAATTGACCAATCGGGGCATTTAAACGGACGAGCCTAGCCGTTAAGGGAGACGAGCGTGCTAGGCGGTCTATGAGGGGTAAAGGTGCGACGTGCGCAGTAGCGTCAGGGCCTAACTTCATTCCAGTCTCCCCAGATTGGGGCAAGAAGTTGCTTAGTCGGGAGGAGCAGGAGCGTGCCGAGGGTCCGGACATGGGGGAGATCCAGCAACCCTCGGCAGACCAGTCCCACTCCGGGACTACGTTGCTAATTGAGGAAGGGTCTAGGCGTAAACGGGACCACAGCGGCGAGCTAAACGACGCCGCAGCTGAAGGGGACCGTCCGCAGGATACGAGCACTAAAGAACCACAGTGGTGGCGCGAGAAGAGGACGCAGGAAGACACCACTTCCAAGGGGACTCTGTGTAGTGTGGGTATGACCGCCGTATTAAGAGTCGAAGTGACCGGCAGCCAGTGCGAAGCTCTTCTAGATACCGGCGCCTCAAGGAGCTTCATTAGCCCAGGGGCGGTAGAACGCCTACAGCTGAAAGCTTGGAAGCTGCCTGAGGAATGTGTGTTCACCGTAGCTAACGGTGCGCAGTTGAGGATAGATCGCGTGGTGAAGGGACTCACTATGTGGTGTGGGGCTACCCGTTTAGCCGGCGACTTCTTAGTCGGGCCTGTGCCATATGACCTAGTGGTGGGGCTTGATTGGCTGACTAATCATAGGGTAGCGTGGTATTTCCAGTCTGATAAGCTGCGTACGTATGTGAATGGCCAGTGGCGCGATCTACCTGTTGTTCGCGCCAACGATGTCACACAACGGAATGGCAGTACTCAAGGGACGCGTCAGCAGACCCCCGCGGAGCAGGCATACGATATACTGGCTAAGCAGGTAGCAGACATGACAAGGGAGGAGGCTACGGCACTTCTACGCCCGCCCTCCAAGAGGTACAAGACACCCTCAAAGGGCAAACGGAAGGCAGTGGTCGCTGCTCTGATACAGCAGGCTACGGAGAGCACAGCCTGCATACGCCACCCACTTCAAGGGCTCTACGCTATACTTGCTCTTCCCGCGATGGAGTCGAACGTGGCTCTGCGTCTGGTGGAGGAGTGGCAAGGGGCTTTATGTTGTGCCATGGTCGAAACCTCCCCTCCCAACCCCCACCAGCAATGTCTTAAGGCTCTACCCGTTTCCGCGCTTCCCGACGAAGAGGAGACATCCCCTTGGCCAACGGCCCAACTCGAGTACTCGCAATTCGATACGTGGCTAACTTCCGTGGAGGCGCAGGCAACTCCCCGCGCGATACTGGATGTGTTGTGTGCTCACCGTGCGGTCTTTCCGGATACACTTCCTACAGGGCTGCCACCGAAGCGCCCCCATGATCACCGTATCCTCCTCGTGCCAGGGAAGCTCCCTACGAAGTCGGCGATCTACCGCATGACCCCCGAACAGCTCAAATTTCACAAGCAGGAGATAGCTAAACTGTCTGCTAATGGGTGGATTGGCCCCACTTACTCTCCTATCTGCGCACCTACGATTATGGTAGATAAGCGTAGCGATGGAACGGGCGAGCGTAAGATGCGTATGGTTGTCAATTACCGGGAGCTGAACGCTCTTACGATTGCGCCTGATTTTCCCCTACCACCTATTCAAACGATTCTTGAGATGTTACGGGGTTCCCAATACTTTTCTATCCTTGACCTCGAGTCAGGATTTCACCAGATAAGGATGGCTAAGGAGGACAGCTGGAAGACAGCCTTCCGTTCTGTTATGGGGCTATTCGAGTATAAGGTCATGCCCTTTGGCCTCAAGGGCGCGCCCGCTACCTTTTAGGCCAATATCAATGCCTACCTCCAGCCTTTATTAGGTCAGGGAGTCATCGCGTACCTCGGTGATGTCCTCATTTACAGCCCCGACCTTCCCAGTCACGTTACCCTCCTCCAACAAGTGCTACGTATTTTCCTCGATCAGCAATTTTACCCAAAGTTCTCTAAGTGTAAGTTTGCGAAGCGGGAGCTTACCTACCTGGGCTATACAGTCAGCGCGGAGGGCATAAAACCCGCAGCAGACAAGATTCAATTCATCAAGGCGTGGCCCGAGGTGTTGGAGAACGAGACGCAAATCCGTCAGTTCCTAGGCACCGTTAATTATCGTCGCATGTTCATGGGCCCGGATTTTGCTAGGGTCGCCCGCCCGCTCGTCGATCTCACACGCAAAGGTGCCCCTTTCCAGTGGACAGACGCCCATACTCAGGCGGTACGCCACCTAAAGCAGCGTTTGATTGATTACACCACCCTACAGATTCCTGACACCACGAAACCCTTTGAGCTATACACGGATGCTTCTGGCTATGCAATTGGCGCGGTCCTCGAACAGGCCGGTCAGCCAATAGGGTTCCTCAGTCAGGCCATGACCCCCACGCAGCAGAAATACTCGATCTATGACCAGGAGCTTTTGGCCTTAGTGTCTGCACTCGACAAGTGGGCACACTTACTGCGACCTACCAAGGTCACGGCACACACCGACCACCAAGCCCATACACACTTACAGCAGCTCAAGGCGTCGAAGCCTCTCCGCGGCCGCACTGCCCGGTGGCTAGATTTTCTGGCTGAGTTCCCCGACCTCACTACTACATACTTGCCGGGTGCACGTAATCAAGTAGCGGACGCACTGTCTCGCCTCCCTTGTCACTCTGCCCCCTGCCCTCCACCCTCCCACATCGACCCCCCTGCGACCCCTTCTTGGTCCCTTGCAGTTCTCGGGCCAGCGACTAACCCGCCCGCACCATCGCACAAGACCCAGGGAACACATCCTGACTACCGGAGACTTGCCAGCCTCCGCCGACGTTCCTTCCGGAAACGCACTCCGTTACCGCCGGTTCCACCCCCGAACCCTACGCTCAAACCCGCTCCCGAATCTCCCACGCCGGCAGACCCGACACCTACGCCCAGTTCTCCCGTCCTCGACTGGCCGGCAGCGTATTCTAAGTGCCCTGCGTTCAGCGAGCCTTATAACGCTGCCTCTACCAAGCCGGGTGAAGTTATTCAACCGGAGTTCCAAAATCGTCGTCATACCTTCCGTTTTGTTCTGCCCTACTTACGTATCTGCGTTAATAGTCTCTGGCTCATTTGCGTGCCTCAATTTCCACAGTTCCTCACTCACGTCCTGTACACGCATCATGATCACGTCACCGCTGGGCATCGAGGCCAAAAGAAGACCTACAAGGCCCTCAGCAAGCATTACTATTGGCCTGGCATGCGTACTTACACCAACGCGTACGTGGAGTCCTGCACGCAGTGTCGCGCATCCAAATCCCTCAATCAGAAACCCGCCGGCCTCTTACAGCAGCTGCTTGTCCCCTCGCGCCGGTGGAGCCATGTTAGCCTAGATTTCGTCACTGACTTACCCCTCACTACCACTGGGCACGACGCCATCCTGGTCGTCGTTGATTCTCTCAGCAAGACGGCTCACTTTATTCCGGCCAAGAAGTCCCACTCAGCTGCTGACACTGTAGAGCTCTTTGCTGACCGTCTCATCCGCTACCACGGCTTCCCCGACGTCCTTGTTTCCGACAGGGATCCTCGTTTCCAATCGGAAGTGCGGTCGCTATTGTGCTCACGTTTCAATATTACCCGGGCGGTGTTTTCTTCTTACCACCCGCAAACGGATGGCCAGACCGAGCGAGTTAACCGCACCCTTGAACAGATGCTACGCACGTACATCCAGGCAGATGATAGGGAGTTGGAAGGCCTGCTGCCTGCCTTGGAGCTAGCGTATAACACCACCAGTCATTCCTCTACTGAGCTTTCCCCCTTCGAAATCATGATTGCGGAGAATCCCTTAACCGCAGCGGACCTCGACATTGTTGGTGCTTTGGCTCCTACGCTCACTCCCCTTATGACTAAACTCTTCTGGCAGCTCTGCGATCGCGCACGAGCCACATCATCCAGGCAAAGTGGCGTCAGAAATACTACGCTGACGCCCGCCGCAGGGCTGTGGAGTATAAGGTGGGCGACCAAGTCTGGCTTAGTGACAAACACTTACCTGCTCTTAACCATTGTTCTAAGTTTGAACCTAAATACCGTGGGCCCTTCACAGTGACCGAACGCATTGGCACGGTCGCTTACCGTCTTGCTTTGCCCGCCACATACGAGGGACACAATGTTTTTCATGTTTCACAATTGGTCCCACATCATCCCCGCGATCCCGCTTTAGTTCCACACGAAGGTCCAATGGGCTGGCCACCAACACACGATGACGCCGGCAACCCTACGGACCAGTATCTTGTCGACTATATCCTGGACCAAAGGGGGACTGGAGAGGAGGCGCAGTATCTTGTTAAGTGGCGGGGTGTTCCCGAGGAAAGGGCCACATGGGAACCCGCACATCATTTGGCAGGGTGTCCCGCCTTACTTCGGGCGTGGCCGCGCCGCCAGCGCAAACGCCATCCATCCTGACGACGTTCTTCTTCTTCTTCTTCTTCTTCTTCTTCTTCTTCTTCTTCTTCTTCTTCTTCTTCTTCTTCTTCTTCTTCTTCTTCTTCTTCCCTTTCCGCTGCTCTCGCCCTTCCTCTTTATACGCGTTCGCCCGCCCGTTCTCGTCCTGGGAAGGGGGGGAAGGGGTGCAGGAGCACCTTACAATCCAAGACTCTGCCAGCTGCTTACTTTCAAGGAACTAATGTCACTAGTATCATGTTAAGGGAGGGCTAGACGACTACTAGTGGACTACAGGACGTCCGAGGACACCGACGTCTACGAGTAGAAGGGCTGGGTAAGGAGGAAGAGTGGTCGGAGAATGATAACGCACCTGCCGAGATCCGTGAAGACCTAATTCCTAGTCAGGGAAGGCCGGCCCACCCCCTAGAAGGTCGGCCGATTTGACGTACTAGCCAATGGCCCCACAGCCCCTGACGTGTGGGACGTTCCGAGATTGTTGTGAAGCGTGAGGAACGGAGAGAATGAGGAGAAGAGAAGGGCCGGAACCTAAAAAACCGGCAAGCGGTTTCTGTTCGTTAGCAGGAAGGAAGTTGTAGTGCCAGGCACTACAATTGACCTTCGTCGCCACCCCTCGAGGCTTAGTAACGCGAAAGGGCATGAATAATATAGAATATTTTAAGGTATAAGGCACCATTGGATATTAGGAAATCATAAAAGGGAATAGTGTGCTCGCTAGCCAGCACCGGGTATGGGGCTGGATGCGAGGTTGGTGCCGTGACTCAGGCACTGACCCTCAGCGAGGGTCAACAGTCAGTTCTATTATTTTGGGTTTTTCTTACCTCTCAATAATATGAACACAGTTGTATATGGCCATTAAGGGTATACAGTAATAGTTGGCGAGAATCATGGATTTTAGATAGTAGATGCAGAGTGTGCACTTAGTCAGACTAGCCCAGGGACCATACGTAGTAACAATGTAGGCCAGCTGTTCACTACAACCCGTCATTCGACTTTGGTCATGCGGCCATTTATTTCCTCCGACCATTGGGCACAAAATTTATTTGCTCTTGTAGCGCTGTCTTATTTTTTCATGTTGACGTTGGAATTGAGAAGCTGGAGACAATAATCTGTTGCTTCTTTCGTTGAATACCGTCATACCTCCACTTGCCAACGAACGGGGGTTCACTCAGATTGCACCAGTTGTAGGGATGCTGTCATTGTGACTGCTGCTCTTAAGCCACATTAGTCCCGTGGCTTCAGTAAGAGAATTGCGTCTCCGCAAGCCGTTTCTTGTTTCATCTTTGCAAAGACGTAGCTAGGTCCTCCACACTGTCTAATGTCCAGGGTCTCCCCAGCTTTGAGTCCTCTCCTGGTATTCTCCTGTGCTACTGATTCAAAATTCAGAAAAGAACTCCTTTTATGCACATTTCGACTATTATTTTTTTTCGAAACTGCGCGTTCTGTATGCTTGCGACTTGAGCCGTAACCCCACGCTTCGTACTTTCCCGTTATAATGGTGATGCTCCTGTCTGCGCCATCTCAGTGGAACAAGTCATACGAAAGCATACAAGAACGTGCATATCAAGCAATTAATACGTCACGTATGAGCGAGGTCGCAAAATCTCAGTGGACCGTCGCTTGCTCTCACGCTGCCTCTATCCGTTAAAATATCCGGGGGTTCGGACGGCTCAAGTGAGGCAGGAAGCCCTGGTATGTCCGCTGCCGTTGCACAACAAAAGAAATTTTTGGGCCCTCCATATCAGCGAGTCCCCTAATTGTGAAGTTAAGCTTAAGATAATGGCTAACTAGGTTTGCCTTGTGTTGAGCTTGAATAGTTTCAATGCGACAAGTGGCGGCAGACCGTATGATACAATATTCTTTAGACTGCGGCCGGCGCACTCTTATGAACCTCACATCTTACTGCTACCTAGTGAACACCTACAAGTTTCTTGTTAGTCGTATTATGCATGATCAGCGCACTTTCCACAGACAGGCAATGGTAAAGTTGTCTGAAGGCGCGTGATTGTTTATTTAATCAGACATGCATGACTAAGTGGATAGATTGATGATGGCTTTTCTTTCTTCGATGGGGCTAAGTGAAGGACATTCCCTTTGGTCTCAAGAACTATCGAAATTCCTTCCACAGGTATATCAGCAAGGACGCTCAATAATTACTAGATCGAAACGCTCTTGTATTCCTTGACAATGTGAGTAAATACAGTTCACATATTGACAAGGCAGGCGAACACTAACTCTTCAGCATCTTTCTCAAGTATACATTCAACTCCAAGATCCGAAGATTGAAGTTTGTTAATGAATAGCTCGGCTTATCCGGTAACGTTTTCAGTGGAGAAGTGAAAATCGGTAGCGGATAATATGCGCGTTATGTGTGTCTGCAGGCACACGTACGCTTTCAGACACTGTGGCTCAATGAGGCCAGCATATTTGACTAGTGGAATAGCGATACATATTCATGGAGCGAAATTCTCTTATCTTCGCTATGAATTCCCGCTACATGCTTCGCATGTAGCGGGAATTCTACATGCTTCGCATGCGAGTGTGGGCCTCTGCCCACTGAAAAGACAAAATTTTTGGTTCTTTTACAGCTGACGCCGCCTCGTGGGCCCCACTCGAAAAAATTTGCCCAACCAGAGGGCAAATGCTCATGCTCACACCATGCGAAGCGTCTAACAGAGCTTCACAGGCTACATGGCTCTACAGGCTTCTGAAGCTGCAGAGATTTTAAGTGACACACTGGCCCTTCCTCCTTCACAACACGTACGGCACTCGAGCAAGAACAAAGGCTGCTCGTTTTTCCACAACCAGCAGACAAGCTCCACATAACAAAAATAGCACGCCTATGACTATGAATGGCTAGCCGTACTCACAGCTCTATGGAAGTGATGCCCTCCGCCAAGGTTACGGCATGCACTGCCCGTCAGTGCCTGGAGTGCTCACGCATAACAATGGCGCTTACTGGTGACTTGTAGAGGTAGGCACGCCGAAAGAACACCGATAACTTGCTACTAGTAATAAACCCAGGCACGTTATGCGCGACACAGCATTCTTAGGCAAAGAACGTTACTATCCCAACTCTAGGGGTTGCGAAGACCCCGCCACTGAAACGAGGTATCGACGCAACCGGGTCAGGAGAGTCAGACCGATGATTCAGGAATTTTAAGAAGTTCGACCGATAGACTTGAATGATGACTATTAATTGGTGCTGTTTCAAGGGACATGTGTCGAACGTACGGAATTTTAAGGAGGCACGCCCAGTGCGTGCGACAGGAAGTTAAGGAGTAGCAGCAGGGAGCGCTGTTCACTACAGTCCCTGACGTGTAGTGCACAGCGCCTACTGCTACGGCTACGTTGCCACCTGACCCACGTGTAGGGGCCTATGGTAACCCTCTACCTTCGGCGCATCTCTTTGAAATAACTGTCCAAATATCATTAAATGTATTTATTTCTCCAGTTTCCAAATCCACTTTCTTGAAAGTCCCCAACTCGGGATTTTTGCCTCCTTGGCCTTGTGGGGAGGAGGCCTGCACCGGTGCCCGCACTATCGCCAGACCCAATCTCCAGGTTTTCACAAACACGTCTAGTGTAAACATGCTAATTTGCTGATAAACTGCCTCACTTCGATACCAGCAAGAAGGTCCTGTCTTCGTCCACGGTGTTGACCCCTTGTAGGTCTCCAGCTAGCTATCTTCTTAGAGTCACCAGGAAACCCTACTGTAGTGACTGTGGAAGACATAACGGACCGTGGCGTCGTCATTTCGATCTCCTCAGTCGTAAAACGGCACCGAGACTAGCCTCGGCACTCAATGCCCTAAACGGTGCTGCACGGATCGCTGCGCTCTCATTGCTGATCTTTAAATATTGAAACTAGCCACCGGCTTGCAAGGCATCCTCGCCGAAACTGCCTCTTGCTACCTCTGCTCACCAGTTCTATCCGTGCTAACTCTCCAAATGATCTTCATAGTGTCCTTGGGCATATAGCCTTGGACTCCTCATAATACAGTTCTCAGACTCATAGTCCGTCGTGACATGAATGCTGGTTCAATCTTTACTCTACCAGACTGGTACTGTGGACACGAAACCTCTGCTCCAGTGCGTTTTGCCCCTCTGCTTGCGCTCCTTCGGCCGAGCTGCCTTTATTACTGTATCGCCCGCCAAGACTATACCGCATATGAACCAGTCTGTCGTTGATATCAGATGACTCCAGTACGAGCGCTCAGTGTTGTCTGCGTGTCCCATGTCGCTGAACTGCGTTGCCAATCCCACCGTTCGGGCGAGCTTGCATGGATAACCGCAAGGGCAAGCATCCCAACATTCGTTTAAATGCATTGAGGCGGGCATCTGAGGGGTCAGCATTCATTACAGATGGCACGGAGCCACAACAGCGCGCAACCATGTCACACGGCAGCGACGTGGCAGAAACGGCATTTGCCTACGCCTGACCACTTCTCTAGTCTACAGCAAGAAACCCCGATGAGAGCTCTTCGTTTTTGCTGAAATACTAATTCAATGGAAACTAGACATCCCAGCTGGGCACTGCATGTTTTACGAGGTCAGAACAACACCAGTCACCAGCTCTCCGTCAGCGGATCACGCTAAAATTGCCTTATGAGCCTTTTTTTGTGTCCTTAATGTTTGTTGTTATGGTAGCATTACATAATATGTTGCAATTACAGTTTTCTTGCCCAAAGAAAGCGGGCTCGCACTCAGAGCTCAGATTCACCTAGATGCTCCAACGCGAGCTGCAGAGCAGACGCTCACTGGGCTGCATTACTCTTTTTCTGAGTATACGCGGTATTTCTGATATTTTTGTTCCTTTTTATCGCATAATTACGCTTAAGTAGGAATCTAGATGGAAAGCGAAGGGCGTTCTACTCGGTTTGTGCCTGGTGTGTCGAATATGGGGCCCCCCGCCGCTCTTGCGGGGCTCAGAGAGGCGCAAGGTTGTTTGGGTCTCACGACGCTCAATCCTGTTCATTTTTTCGTGCCATTCGATTTTTCGTGGGCTTGAGAAGTTTGCCCTTCATAATTTCCGCCTTATTTTTTGCTGAAGAGAAAGCACAGGGGCCGCCGCTAGCGGCCATTCTGCGTTCAACAGCCCCACAGCGGCGGTCTTCTACTAGTTGGCCGATAGCGGGTTTTTTTAATTGTTATCGCGTGCACTTTCGTTTTGCATCTCTTGTTTTCTATTTCTTGCCACTTTGGACGGGCGCTGGACGCTACTGCCCCCACCTTAGGGACGGCGGCACTCTACCTGCGGCCTTTACCACTCCCGTACAGCTACGGTTGGCCACTTATACTTCGCATGTGCTCTGATTGGCATTTTTACACAATCTGTGTTCATCAGAGCCTCAAACCGTGTGGAGGCATCGTTGCCAGTGGCCACAGGGAGTCTAGGTGCCTCCAGTCCAGTCACCCCCCTTCTGAAGACTGCCTCGGAGCGTCTGTCGTTAACGCTGAGGCAAGAATTAGCGCGACCACATACTGAGAGCTTTTGGAGGGCCTTTGGCTTTCCTGAAGTGGCCGGTGATCCCGGACGAATTCTCGAGAACAGCAGGGGGGCGTTGTGGGTGGCAAGTTTCAATTTGAATCTCCTTAGGCGATTTCTACAGTGGACAGACGCCGCAAGAACAGGACGTAAGGTGTTTACCGCAGTGCGCAATCATGGCGGCTGCAGCACTTTTTCCAATGGCAGCCGTAACACCAAATAATGGCAACTGTTTCAGCGGCAGTGGCAACAGCGTCCCAACAATGACATCTTGCCGTTCTCCGAGGGGCGCCCACTCACCACAGCGTGCGGAGAGTCCTCCCACGCAAGATGGTGGCCAGGAGCAGCATCAGCACAAAGAGGAGCAACAACAGCATTGGCAGGAGAGGTTACCTGCTACCGACGAGGCGAACAGGGCGCCGCACCAGCGGCACCCGTTGGAAGTGGAGGACTCGGGAGGGGCAACATCTGTTGCTTCTCTGCGTCCGCTGCCTTCCCGGCAAGGTACGCAGCAGCCCCCTGACCTTCTCCAGCGGAGCCAAGGGTCTCAGGGAGCTTCTAACCTTTCCGGGCGCTCTGCGCTGGCTGCCAAGACCTCGTCTTTGCTGCAGCGAAAGCAACAGTTTTATAAGGTGAGCTCAGCATCGCGCTCTTTGGTTTGCTTTGGTGGCCCAACCATGTGTAGTTTTTGGTGAGGGGTGTGCAAGGGCATTTGCCTTGTCTTCCTTGAATTTGGCCCAGGACGAGCTTAAGGGCCTTCCCCAGACATGACGGCAGCGCTTTGTGCATTTGGAGTGGCAGAAATAACTGCTGGCAGTTCGCTTTGCAACCACTCGCGGGTGTCTTGGAGCAGCTGCGCTAATTGGCGCCATCGGGTACTGGCCTTCGTAGCGTACTTCTACAGGTGTCTTGAATTTCTGGAGCTCAAGCCCGGGCCGCATGCGTTTTTGTTGCTGCTTTTGTGAATTTTGCAGACGAAAATGTGCCCGTGGTTTTCACGAGGCCGCTGTGACAGAGGCCCTAGCTGCCAATTCGCGCACAACACTATGGAACTCCGGGCAACTCCAGACCTCCGCAGGACATCTCTCTGCCCCAGGCTGAAGCAGCTAGGCCGTTGCATAAACCGAGACTGCTCCTACGCTCACCAGCCTCAAGAACTTAGGGCCACTGGGTGGGTGACTGACTTTTCGTATCCTTGCTCCTGCCTAATTAATGCCTCTTGTGTATTTAGGTGCAGGTGCGGATGTTGTTAGTGTAATATGCTTTTGTGCTTGTGCTTCAGCTGCACGCAGAGTGAACTTATGTTGCTCAGTATTTGCAGCTTCTTTGCATTTCCGTATTTTGTTATCTGCTTGCAGTGAGGTATACAAGACGGCGCTTTGCGTCAAGTGGCAGTTGGGCCGCTGTGCTGTGGGCAACTTGTGTCGGCATGCAGTAAGTCGCTGGTAGCTTGCAGCGGAAGCAGCAGACTCATTTTTAGGAGCTGTAGCAGTAAGACCACCACCGTGCCTTGCTGCGGGGGGTTTTGGGCTAGGGGCTATCGAATTATGTCGATTTTTTGCTGCAGCATGGACCTGAGGAAATGCGAGGAGTCGCAGTGACCCAAGTGGGCTCCCATAAGAAGGAGCTAACAAGTCCAGTTACTGTTGCTAGTTCTTCTGCTTCTGCTTCATGCGGACTGGGTCGGCTTGCCGAGCTCGCGGAAGGCGAAGTGAGCAGCAGAAGCAGCTTGGGCAGTTCTTCCGGGAACAGCAACAGTAGCGGCAACAGCACTTGCACCTCGTCGCCAGCCCCGTGTCACTCCCCCTTCTCAATTCCAGGAACAGCTGGAGCCCCAGCGGCGGTACCGGCAGCTGACGGTATAGCAAAGGATACGAAACAGCTAAACACGGATCCCTCAGAGGTCCACCGAAGTCGCCGAAGTGTCGATGATGATGATCCGCAGGTGAATCGTGGGCAGCAGCAACAGAAGACGCTTTCCAATTTCCTCGCAGGGCATGCAGCAACCCAGGCGGCAGTGGGCGCCTCATGGGCTTTTGACAGGGGGGCTCTTTGTCCAGATTATCCGGCGCAGTCTCCGGGCATCGCTGGGCGGGAGCAGCAACAGCAACAAGGACGACTTTTGGGGCAGCATGGCAGAGTTGTGGCGCAGCAGCGCCATTTGTCGGGACAGAAAGCTGCTCCCCTCGTTCCCGTAAACCGGAAGCTACCAAAGGCTGTGCAGCGACAGCTGAGGCAGCAGCAGCAACAGCAACAGCAACAGCAACAGCAATTGCTGCTGATCCACTCACAACGGCAGGGACGGTTCAACCAGAAGGACCTACAGTCGCAGCAACAGCAGACAACAACACAAGGAACGCACAGGCGCAAAACGCTACAGCAGCAGCAGGTGCAGACGGCTCATCAGATATATTCGTGGATGCCACGCCCGCAGCGGATGGCATGGGATGGCTTACAACAGCAGCAGCGGCAGCAGCAGCAGCAACAGCAGCTACCACACCAGCCGCTGAGTGGGAACCTTCCACATCTCCTTCCACAGCAGGCCAGCATTGCCGAGGACACAATGCTGCTCTTGCAGCAGCAACAGACGGCTCCTGCGACGCTACAGGAGGCTGTTTGGCATCAGCAGGAGCAGCAGCACCTGCACCCGCTGACCCAGGACCCTTCGACGGCATTTGACAGAGCGCTCGGCCTAGATTCTGCGAACCCTTTGCTCCAGCCACTGCAGCAGCAGCAGCAGAGGGCGTCCAAGGATGCATCCTACGGCGCACAGCACCCGCATCAACAACAGCAACAGCAGTATCCTGCGTGGGAACCGGAGAGAATTTTGTCCCTTTGGGATCAAGCAGACGCGTGCTGGAGCAGCAACAGTGAAATGCAGCAGCAGCTGCAGCAGCAGCACGAAGGGACATCTGCAACGCTCACGACTGATGCGACTTTTGTGGACACTCCCATATCGGACAGTTTGCTGCTGCTTCCGCAACAGGGACTTCAGGGTTCCGCCGATGAGGCGTTGCAGCAGCAGGAAAAGCAGCATCAGCATGAGAATACACTAGACATCGTTTGTGCGGGAGGAGCGCGAGAGGATGGAGTTCAGCTGACATCTGTAGTATCTGTTGGCGTGGCGGGCGGTAGCCGCCCCGTGCCTTTGAAAGCCCCTGACTGCAGTCGTATATTTCAGACGAGCGAGGAAAGCCCTTGTTCAATTCTTTTTTCTGGTCCCCAATTGTTTAACGTGGCAGCGGAGGCGGAGTAAGGTTGACTGGGTTAGCAATGCCTTGTATTTGGTTGTTTGTTGCCGAGAGGCGACAGCGAGGGGCACTTGAGGCGGGGCCAATTGCCCTCCTCTCTGTCTTTTTTAAGTCCCTCTTGCCTTCATTTGGGCCGATCATACATTTCTTTTGTCTGTTGTCTTGGATGGTTTTTTACGTCTGTGCCTGGCCTGAAGCGAACGGCAGGCTGCAGCTCGCGTCTTGACTGCGGGGCCGCAGCAGTAGCAGCAGCACCCGCAACAGCGGCAGCAGCAGGTGCCAGGGAAGGCTGTGTCAGGCCTCAACTATTCAGGCGCCACATTGATTTTTCTAACTTGATTAGCTTTGCTGGAATGTATTTTCACGGATGTGGGACGTGCACATTTGCCCTGCAGTGGTTGGGCTTGAATTGTAAATATAATTTTGTTTTTAGTTTTGCCGTCATTGGCCACGGACTTGGGTTCTCTGACGGGCAGTGGGGCCTCAAGCCAGCGTGCAATTGTGACCAAGGGCTTGAAAACGTACAGGATACATCAGCACCGCAATCTTGCTCTAAACCGCGCGGGCTGCCACGTTAAAAGCCGTAGCTGCCTGAATGCATTGGACTGTAATTTTTTCTTCCATACGTTCCACACGTAACGTTCCGCATGGTCGTCTAGTCATATTTGCACGAGTAGGCTCCTTAGCTGAAATAGAGCATATCTCTCTTGACCGTGCTGAGGTTCGAAAGTACAAGCGGAGTGGCTCGGGTCACTGAGCACACTCGACTAAGCGTTCTTGCATTTGAAGATTCCTAGGCAGACCAAGTGATCTGCAAGTGGGACAGAGAATTCTGTAGGCCCATGAGGAAGTCGCTTCAATGGAGTGGAAGTGCTGTACAGAATCTTCGAGTCCGTGGGAAAGATCTAAGGACAAAACATGCAGTGCTCACTTTCTGTGCGGACTCTGACTTATTTTGGGTTAACGGTTGTTCGCTCTTGCAGCATCTGCAGCTCAGTATAGTTTATGAAGGTCAAACAACTGATTTGAGCAGAACACACTTTTTGCCACAGGGGTGTGCCAATGTGCTTGCGAGTTAAGACAGCCACACGTAACTCAATACGTGGATTGTGAGTTTAAGCAGCCCACTCGTTTCTAGTTTTGCTGCCGTTGGTCTGGGATACGCCCTTTTTCACAGTGTGGGGTACTCCCCCTTTTGCGGGCAATGGATCTGAAGTTGCCGTGCACTTGCGAGCAATCGCGTGAAGGCATCCAGAAAGTGCTAGATTATGATATGTTTCATTTCCACACTTTTGAGCTTTAAATTCAGTATTGGAACTCGGTAAGCTTGTGTCTTTCACTGTTGTAGGAAGCGAACCGTAGCTGTCAGGTGATAAACGCATGCACAGGGGGGAGGCTTCACCGCAGACACGTACAAAACAAGTATTCAGTAATATCCCGCAGGCAATTTAAATAATGTATGGCTGAGATTGGAGTGGCAGGAATGGCATAGCGAACGGGACGACAATGCAGCACCTCTAATCTCCCGCGGTCAGCTGATAAACCGCTGGAGATCCTTCTCCATTCGACTGCCGACGAGGGTCCCTACCGTGGACGCTGGAGCATGCGATTATGGAGGTTGACTATTTGCGACGCCAATAACCCCGGAAGCATGGGAAATCTACATAAGCCTTCAAGATAAACATTTTACCGACATAAGAATTGATGGAGGCGTGAGCATTTTATGGGCCCTAATTTATTGAGCCGGAAGTATCCCAAGCATATAATAAGCGTGGCCGGCTGGAGGTTGCTGAACCAGCTGTTCCACAGGTGCTTTCGTGCGCTACTCAGAAGTAAGGTGCTTAGTTGATTTGGCCAGAGTCTAGTGGAAAAGAGACTCCAGATGGTCCACAGCACAGCCCGCAGCCCCACTGAAAAGCGCTGCACGTGTCGCCTCATCGGTGTCCTCAAAAAGTCAGCACGAAAGCTTCAAGCGCTTTGTCCGAAAGAAAGGGAGAAGCGTACGGAGCAACTGCTCGCTGAAGAAGGGAAATCAAAGAGGCAAGAGCATCCAGTCCGGCTCACTGAGCTGGAGGAACGCTTTACCTGCCAGCAGTTAGACCGACGAATTGAAACCCTTCACACTTTTTCAGAGGGATTCTAGACCTCCTTGCTGCCTCTGCTAAGAAGGCAAAGGCGATTGACTCGGGCTTCAAGAAAAATGTGCGTGTTGTGCTGCCAGCTTCATCACTGAAGATTTTACATGTACAAACTTGCAAAGACATGCGAATTTCAGTGAAACAAATTGCTACTGTAGCTGCTTTGCCCTTACTTTTTTCAATAAATGTCTGTTTTACACTACGTCATCTCTGCTAGCAAAAATGCACTGACCTGGAGACTTCGCCTCTCGCCTGAACTCACTTGAGGGCCCATATACACCCGAATTAGACAGTAATGGCTAGGCTGGCGCGTGTAGAGTATCAGTTCGGTTTCCAGCTTCTCGTCAGATGCAGGCCTTTAAAAATTTGCAGCGGGCTCGCTTCTCTCTTTTCCACCGCCAATGCTGCACTTTCACTCAAGCGGTTCCTCTGCCGCACAGGCATCATCTCCTTGCAGAGCCGCGGTGTAGACCTAGCAGGGTGGGATTTATTCCAAATCAGGCTTGCTTGCTCCTGATGCAGTAAATTACTTGCTTTCTTGATTTGTTTGGTGCGTCAGTCTTCCCATCCACTGGCCCAGAGGTGGGTCTCCTGAAAATTATGGGGTCTCAACGCGCACCGTCCTTGGACCAATGATTCGTGACTGACTAAAGACGCTCTCTTATGGACAATGCAGATCCATTCCATAACGGCCGCGGCAGAAATTTAGAAATTTCGGCTCTGCCATTGTATCATTAGTTGCAGCTTGGTCCTATGTGCGTCTTCTTATTCTGCTCACATAGCTCATGCCTATTTCTACTCATCAAAGACACCGATTCAGTATTAAATCCGTCAAAAGAGTGGAACGAAGGCACTGCACAGGCAGACGAAAAGGGGTGCGCAACGGAAGCTATGCAACTAGCGATGGAAGGACAGCGTTATGCAGAGTGTAAGAGACGTCGCGTAAGGCAGTGGCAGTTGACTTTTGGAGTCAACGCATGCAACGCTAACATGCTCGTAATAGAACATGGCAGTGAGATGCTGAGCAAGATCCGACATAGCATGCTCCTCCGGGAAGCCCTCCAACATTTCTTGATATAGTCATCCGTGCTCGAGAATCAGTTGGGCTTCCAACTACAACCGGTGCTGGAACTCAAAAAAGGGCTGTTTCACTCGCGACCATGTGTGGATCGCGAGCGGGCAATGCCACAAGTAGCACGGCTGGAAAGAGAACGAGTTCGAACGGAGAGTGGCTGATCGTATGTCTCGTATGTCTGCGCATCCGACAGCGGGTAGGGAGCATTCCCACGTTTTGTTGTTAGACTAGATTTAAACGTGATGCAATCTGCCCTAGGGTATGGTTGGTGTGCTCGCTTGATCCACTGCTTTGGTGGTGATAAGCTGAGGAGTTTGTGCGTTTGAATTTAAGCCTGATGCAGATTCGCTGGCAGTAAAGAGGGTCTTTAACAGGGATCGGCACTTCAGAAACCCACAATTTCGAATGAGACAATCAACAAGAATAACAACAGTATCAGCATCTGCTGGCATGTTCTTCGAGTCTGGCGATGGGACATGGCTGCTGTAGGGGTCCTGCAAGCTTCCGACTGACTGATTCGGAGGTATAACAATGAACGCAGTACTCCACGTGTGAGTGTACGGACACATTGTTAGCCAGTAGTATTGTTACCTCAGGGCGAAGCAGGTTTTCTTCTGGCCGCCATGCCTAGTTCACGTGATTGTGGTGATTGTACAGCACCTAAGCAAGGAATCGGAGAAATTGTGGAACACAGACTCATCATATACCTTAAATACAGACCCGCAACAAAAAGCGATTCGAAACCAAAAAGCTGAGTGGTGGCGGGAGTCAACCCTGGTGCTTTCACCATCTCGCGAAGCTGTAGCAGTCTAAGGCTCGCGGAAGATGGGGCATCTTTCATAAACTGAGGCACAAGCTTGGGGAGAGAGGAGGACCAGGGCTTCTGTAGTCCGTGCTAACATGGGCGTAGCAGACTTCGTCCAACATACTACCCTTTGTTTCTCTTGAAAGCCAGTGTTCGGCTAAGTGAGCCTTACTTTTGCATTTTAGACACATCATGCGGTATATGTTGCTGGCCGGTGGGTGGTGTGCCTTGTTACCTTCGCCTCGTTGAAGTTGGGTCCTCAAAATATACCATGTATGAGATATATTTCAACCTGAAGGACCCAGTTGCGACTATTGCTCATGCGCACAAACTTATTCTTTTGAATGCTCAACACGTAGAAAAGCGTGCTCGTGAGAACATTACCAATCTCAAGCGGAACAGATAGTCTTCATCCTTCCAACGAGAGACCCTAGCAGCATTCATAGTAGAACGGGATCCAAGAAAGGCTGCTCGATCAATTCAAGCCCTTTTAACTTAGTCATTGAGCCGCTCTTGGGGAGACTTGCAGCGTACCAGGTTTGCCTCGAACTGCGCACAAGATGTGAGAAGGTGGCAATAAATTGGACACAAACGGAACACTGAGACTATATGAAGTGCGTTGCAATCAACCGTGCAAACTCTAGAGAAATTTATCGGAGATAGAAAGCTTTGTTCAGTGGACTGGGCTAACACGCAGTCCGCCCAAATGTGCTAATGTGGGCGTAAGAGAAAATCAAGGGGAAACAGAAACCCGCTAGTAAAGCTATAGCTTCACAACGAAGCCTTGCACTTTGTGAAGCTCGAGAAGACCTCGTTCGAAGAGGCCTACAAATATATTTTGAGATCTAAGGTACAATTGGAGACCTCAACGCACAAGAACTGAATTATGCGCATTGCAAACGACACGAGGAGAGAAATTAATTCATCTCAGGCACTGTTAACGTAGCATGGACACGGCCAACCGCGTTCACCTGTCATGTCCCTGCC